AACGTCTGTTTTCAGTTAACAAATTAAATTATTGACTCAGTTAAAACACTAAAAACGTTTTGTTGGTCGTTTTGTCTGTTGCGGTGTTGTTTATATGAAGTGTCGAACTAATGTGTTTACATTACGAAAACTAAATATATCGTCCGCTACTACATAGTTATCCTTTAAAAAAAGGTTTTCGACAGCGGGACCAGACCTCCACACAGGGCCTACACCAGTTTGTCTCCACCACTCTATCATTAGGAGAAACCCTTTTTGTCAGATTCCAGTCTGAAATAATTGTACCTCCAACAACAATCTCACGGTCCTAAAATATCAAGTGTCCTTCATTTTCCAGGCCTACCCAGGGCTCCTGTCATGTCATAACTAGAACCAGTGTTTAAGAACCTATAAGTAGTCTATAGACGGCTATTTCAAAATGACTGGTATCAGTGTTGTGTGGTTTCCATGTGACAATGGAGCTTTTCTTGCAACGAGATGAAAAGTGAAAAACGTGTTCGCCGCAACAAAGGCACAAAATGTCTGGTACTATTTAAATCAGCCTTTGTTGATACTAATCGGGCAGTTTTCTATAGTGAGAAGGAAGCCAGATGTACAGAGAACGGCAGTTACAGAATTAACCACAGCAGTGAGTTTACTGCAGACTCTACAGTACAGCTCTTTCTTACAGGGCCACGACCTGCGTGTTACTCATCAGTGTGGAGGATTTGTCCATGTGGACAGATACAGGAAGGGCCGGCCACATGGCAGGACAGCGCAACAAAGCTAAGGATACTGATACTAATGCTATTAACACACCTGATCGGCTATTAGCCAAGAGCTTGACTGTGGAAACACATTTGTAACCATGGCTTTGCTCTTGAATAACATACAGTATATATTGACACTGGACTGTGATTAGTCTGAACAGAGTGAATAAATACTGTGCCTTACTGTTAAAACCTTACTGTTTTTGTAACTGCTCAGAATTAGAAGTACCTTTTTTTATTATGTTTCCAGATGAGGGATCATCATACATTTCTGGGCCAACTTCAAGTACAGTCACACTCCCTTTGGATTTCACTTTTGTGCTCAAATGCACACATTATTAAGAGACATTTTGCAGATTGAAGTCACATTAAGATTCACAAAAAAAGTAGTGCTGAAAATCTATGATCTGTGAAAAAGCCTTTTGTAAAATATTCTTACATTTAAATGCTTTATCTCCGGTTCAGTCACTGAGCCTTTTGTAAAATATTCTTAAATTTAAATGCTTTCTCTCCGGTTCAGTCACTAGAGAAATCCACAATTTCATACATGGGCAGCAACGGTACAAAATCAACAAAATGTAAACAGAACCGTCACCACGGAGACAAATGCAGTGACTGTGTAAGCTAGAACAACAGATGACGGCAAAACAAATGTGTGAATTGGATGTTTACATGAGCTTCAAGGCATCATTTTGAACATAGAAAAGTGACATTGCATCTGATTCCCTTCATTAGAAATAGGATGGAACTGTAGATAGAGAAGGACAGGAACACTGTGGAAACCTTGCTGAGAGAAAAAAACCCTCAGCCAATAGTTCTGTTGCCTTAAGGGTGAAAGGACTGGTCGTGTTTATAAATGAAAACAGCTGCAATTACCTCAACTTTAAATGAAAGCCTGTTCTCATATAATGGGAATCCTGCCCTGCTGTTTTCCCAACAGCAATGTTGCACAAAGCAACTCAAAGCAGTTCTAATGAAGTGTATGTTTTTCCTCGGTGTGAATTGTGCGCTTGATTATCAGTAACGTTGAGGCATATACAGCCAGAAAGACATTACAGGAACAACCCCCTTGTGGTGGTTAGCATAAAAAAACAACACGTGCAGAAGAACTTTCAACAGCCTCTCTGCTTCATGCTGTCTTTCCTGCCCTGGGAAAAAAGGAGAAGACAGAGTAGGGTTTCCTCTCTGCCTCTTTAAAGGGGGCAAAACCATCTGGTGCAGACAGAGTAGGTCAAGAAGATTTTGGGGTGGGGGCGGACTGAGGAGCTTTAAGTACAGACTGCTCAGCCTAGTACAGGCAGGACCTGTAGACTGTCATCATACTGCCAGAAAAACCAGAGACACTCCCTCTCTGGATCACACAGAACCACAAGGCCAAGGCCTTTTGCACGCAACACGGACCAGAAAAAGGACACTGAATGTTTGAAGCATGTGTCCATGTGGCTTACATGGA